ATGTATGCAAATCGATGCACCAAGTAATTTAAGCTAATTTGTGCGTTGTTACTGTTACTGCAAGACGATTCGTTGCTTTTGTTTGTAGCAAGAATCATAAGGGCGAGAGAACAGAATGAGACGGAGAAAGAATGAAGTAAAATCGAGGCCTGTATTTTCAAGTATTGGTACGTTTATTTGTGAAAGTAACATAGTAGAAAATATTTACCTCGAACGTAATTTTAACAAAAAGAAGATAAAAAAATTAAAAAAAATAAAATAAAAATAAGCTGCAGCCTTTGGGTTTTGAAGGATTACAAAAAATGGAATGTGGAGAAACTGTAAACTCGAGAACTCGTTTTAGATATCCTTGTATCGAGCGAGCTGAACAGTAAAGAATTCAAGTCGAACATGTGACATCACATGAAGTAGTTAATTTCCAGCAGTTTAATTCCTCGATAGCGACGTATAATTATAAGATAAAAGGTACATAAAAGAGGGTCACACGTCGACAAAAACATAAGTAGTAAGTTCAAAACTCTAGGGAACAACTTGGAAACGTTACCTGCGAGGCTTCACGTAATGCGTCGCAGATAAACTGTCGTCCCAGTGTTTTATCTGCAATATTCCCAATGAGATAAGATATATTCCCCTCTCTATATTTGTGAAATATTCTACGCGATAATTTCCTTGCAGAAAATCGTGACGTCTCGAGAAAATCGTTTATCGCGAAATGAGATCGTTCGTTAAACTTTTGCAGATAGAGCAAGATCCGAACAATATACTTTGGAATTAATTTAAATTATTTAAAAAAAAAAGAGAAGATATTCAGAAAAAAAACAAAGATCGATTTTGCATATTTACCTAACTCGAGAGAATATCTCTGTTTGCTGCTCGACAAATAAAAAACCAGTAGATGCTATATTTAAGATTGTAAATCACGGCGGACAACCTCTTGTTATCAGGACAGTATGAAATTGCGTCTAACTTGTTTCCTGCGAGATTATACTTCACACTATTTGATGCATTAACGTCATTCCTAAAAAAAAAAAAAAAAAAAAACAGATGCTAACTCAGCAACAAGATTAACATCCGTGTATTTTCACTTAGTCTCTGTGCGCGAAACAACACAGTCAGAAAAATTTTTGGACAATGAAATCATTAGAAAATACATTTTAGAAATTACGCTACGAAAGGAAAATAACAATGTCGATGAGATAACGATAGAACTATTGAACGCGGGACCTTCTGTTGACTGACAGAATTAATCGGCTCATTCTTACGTATTTTATAACTCTACTGCAGATTTTTATGCATTTCAAGGAAATTTTAAAGTACAGAATTGCGCAAATAGAATATGAAAAAATATATAAGATATCCAAAGTGTAATGCTTTCTATAAAATTTAATGCATCAAACCATCTTCAACTGAGGTTTTATTTCATAAATTATATTCCCAAAGATATAAAACCGCATAAAAATCTGTAGTTTATTTATAATTCACCATTCACCGCTTCTTATCAATTACAGTTGTAGCTGAAAATACAGATGAACTTAAGTCCGTTATAACCTCTGTCTGGAATTGTTATGTCTCGTTCTTGTTATCATTTTTATAAATAAAGAGACTCTTAATGTTTAAAAAAAAAACAGGTTAATATAAAATAAGGAATGACATAAATTACCGATTCATTTGTATTTTCCTCGAACCGAAGACCTTTTCAACAATAAAACAATAAAAAATCGTGATCGTATTATATATATATATATATATATATAATACGATATATATAAAACGTTTAAAAGGTCATAGCAGAATTCACGACTTAAATGAGAAACAAATTCTACAATATGAAACAGTGTCTTTTGTGTGTTGCATTATGCGATAATTAACGTCACTAAATAATTGATCGTAAATCGTTGAACTTGCTGGAACTGTCCGGAACTACGACACTTTGGCAAACAAGGAGAATGGTACATTTGCACTCGGGAAAGAAAAGGAAAAGAAATGAAGGATTCATAGCCGGAGGTTAGTCAACGGATCCCGTTCCTCGGCCGTTCTTCCTTTCTCTTCGTCTCTCTCGTTTCGCGAAGGTCACCCGGTTTCAAATACGGAATTTCTGATCCGTATAGACGTCATTTTAAATATCAAGAGGCTGCGATACTTCCTGCAATTTACTACAAGGCTATATCGTCAATAATACGGCTGATTTCTCCAGAAACAATTATTCGAGCGATCGTCGTTTTCGGGTCTTCCTGAGCTTTAGTAGACGCACTAGTTCCCCCGTGACGTAATCTGCGTAAATACGAGCTTGCATTATAGAGTTTCTTCAAATGAAACGTTTCAACATTTCCCATTGAATCTTCCCATACAGAATTAATTCTGAATTTCTACGATAACCTTTCGATACGATTTCACTCCTGCGAGTTTTTTTTATCTTCTCCACTTCTTTAATTTGATATTCCGTTAATTTTCTCTTTATCAATTATTTGTTTCTTATAGTAATTTCTTTATCAAATTAATGATAAGGAAAAGATGGGAAAAGTGCAAAGAATTCTGAAAGATTTTTATCTGTTTATCCAACGACCATTTGTTCTTTAGTATTAAATAATGATAAAAACGAGATAAAGGAGTATAAAGATTTTCTAAAGACTGATTTCTTTCACGCGTAAATAAGAAATTTTTTTCAATAATTTAACATTTCAACTTGATATTTCGTTTATCAAGTACTAAATTAACATATCGATAAAAAAGAGATAGAAGAAAAATGGCAAACCTGTGAGGAATCAATTTACGCCATTCTTTTTTTTTTTACAACGAAAAATATAAAGAAAATTAAAATTTTGACGAAAAAGTTACGTTTGAATTTCTTTCCATAAAAGTTTCAATTACACGTGTCACGAGGACCAGTAAAAAAAATGACACTTTCCAAGGACAATTAACATCGTATATAAATATTGCAATCATTAAGAATGAACCTACATATATTCGCGCCAGTCCGGTCAATCAACGCGATTAATCAAAGATAATTGACGATCAGTGACAATTACTTGATTGGTACACTGTCAGGTTGTGATCGTCCCTGACCATTGAAATCGTGTTAATCGCTCAGCTACGATACGATTTCGCAGGCGCCATGCGATTTGTTAAAACAATTTGAACGTTGTTATTGGCGCTGTAAGCTGGTCTTATCTGGATTCGACAGACCAAGTTAAACGCATCGCCTATTCAAGCGACGTTTTCCGCCGTACAAATAAGCTTCGTTGGATCTAACAAGTTATTGCACATTGACATTGTTCGGTACAAGGCACCAGACGCAAATATTATTGAAATGTAGATAGGTGATCACTGGGAAAATAAATCATAGATTCGCGGAGACTAGAAAAATTATACTCGAGACGAAACATATTATTTACTCGAAAACAGTACTTTACAGTACAGGCAGATTGTTTTTGACGTGCTATAGCCAATAAAAAATTAAAAATTGGCTATAATATCAGAATATTAAGAACTGTACGTTCATATAATTTTCATAGAGTGTGAAAAGTCGGAAAGTTTCTACATCTATGAAATAACATAAGTAAATTACATGAAAACGAACAGCTGACATTTGGTCCCGCTGAATAATTCAGTTTACTTGATTGTATTACAATGTACATACATGTACATACATGACAGTAGAAAGTGATGAAGATAAATTAATTTGAAAGGAAGGTAGTAAGAAGGTCAGGTGATCATGGGATATAGAATTGTGGAAATGTTATTTCTAGAATATAATTCGATGAACTAGATATAGATATTTTCTCACTAATATTAATTAATTTAACGACGATATTTTACGAAATAGAATTGTCTAAAATATATAATGAAACTGAAAGGCATTGTTCAAATTTATAAATATGATATCTACATGAGATTAAATGAAGAAATACTTCAGTGATTTATGTTGCTTCTATGACTTCACTGCTACTTGAATCGATGTCAAAATGATTAAGTGTCTGATCTCTTAAATTTAAGAAGTATCATGTTGTTAACCTCGAAAAAGAACCATTAATAAAAGGCGAAATTTTATACCAGTCACATAGATGACTTGTGCGATATTTAATATATGCTGTTATAAAGTGTCTACCTAATTATGCAGATTACACTGAAGCACGGAACAAATTATACTACATTATAAAGGGTGGCACCAAGTATCATATTATTCTTTTTATAAATTTAAATATGTTAGAATAAAATACTTGGTGAAATTACAAAAATGAAAACTTTAATATCTATGTTTATTATTAATAAAAATGAACAAATATTTAGTATTGACTAAATATATGTTTCAGTGAGATGTATCGAATAATATTTCAGTGAGTAGTTTATCTTTTGAATAATTTAAATTAATCATATCTACATGTATACATAACGAAAAAGGAGACTATGTAATTTTTCAGGTGAATGAACTTTGAAATATTATGGATAGAAACAGAAAGAAATATTAGATAAACATTTATCACATAAATTTAAGTGAACAATAGAAAAATAATGAACAAAATTTAAGTTTTAGGACATGTATGATCGATATAATGGTAGGATTAATAGAAGCAATAGTTACTAAAATTAACTGTCTTTTCTAATACAGTATAAAAGAAATATTTTTGCTAATATCTCACTAACTATGTATTTCAGACCGTATTTGGTGTAATAATTTTTTTATGTAGAAATCAACACTTTATCCGAATTTGGGATGAAATATTAACTTTTATGTTATTTTGCTTTTTTATCAAGATATGAAGGTCACCTTCAATTTTTTAAATGAAATAGTTAATGTTTCTTCTCGAATTTGGACAAGGCGTTGAATTACTAACTACATTATATAAAATTGCTTTTTATTCAAAAATAATATTCGGAAGAGAGTGCAAGAATGAAGATCAATACTTTATCCCGCTTTGACCCAAAAGAATTTTCTGGAAAGATTTTAAAATTCGAATCAAATTTATAATTTTTTATGATATAAAATAAGATCTAAAAAAACATATTGTAAACCAGATCGTGTTTATTAAAAGGTCTCAATGTTTTGTATTTTTTTTTTTTTTGTATAACTACACGTAAAAGAGGCCAATAATGAGGTGAAAAGATATTTGTACATGTAAGGCAGTACAAATACATGTAATTATTATGAAACATTCATAACATGTGTAATATACGAAAGAGTAATATACATTTGCCTGAATCATGTACTCTCTGCAGCAAAACCACTCACACATACTATATAATAGAACAGTCTTTAGTACTTAAAAGACACTTTGTCAATAAAAAGTAAATTTCCATTCTTTTAATTACACTCTTTGGACGAAAACTATTCACGTTGAGCCTTACATATAATATACTGTACATATATACATAGATCCCTGCGCAAAATACCAATGGAATAAAAACTTTATTAATGATATTTATCACCTGTTTATGCTTTCAGAGCAATTGCCTCTCGTGTATTTTCTTTTGTACGTTCTGTAAAATACAGAAAATTATACATAAGTAAATTAAATGTTTTTTTTCCTAATAGAATAAGAAATTCAATTTCACATTGCAACACATAATTACCTTTTTCCTTTTCTGGTAGATTTTCTGGTACATCTGGTAATATTATATCTTCTGGTACCTCTGGTACTTCTTCTTCCACTTCTGCAGCTAATAAAGCATCAAGCTCAGCTTCAACTTCATTCTCATCCCTTTCTGTAAGTTCTCCCGATAATATCTCATTAATCTCCTGTTGTTTTTCAATGCCTTCCCTAGTTTCATCCATAACTTTTTCAATTTCATCAATGGATAATAAATCATTCAGTTTCTTCAATGCAGCATTGCCCACTTTCAGACCATCCACAACTTTCAATTCTACTTGTGCAAATTCTAAATCATGTACCATGAGTTCAAGATTCTCTAGTTGTCCATCAGTCTTTGACAATATTTGTTCTTGAAACTTCTTTTTGCGTAAAATAAGTAAAGCACGTCTGGAAAAATTATATAATGTTTAAAAAATACATTACGAGCAATCGTATTTTTTTTCTAACAATATAACAATGTAAATTTGACACGTACTCCTTTTGTTTATTTTGTATAAGTTTTTTTGCGAGTAATCGTTCTTTCTCGAGATTTTGCTCGATTCTTCGTTGATATTGTTTAATCTTATCCCTAGTTTGTTTTAATTGCTGTAAAAATGATAGGAATCTGTTAACATGTGCCTAAAATAAAAGTAGTTGAGGTTAGGAAATACGAGACCACACCAAAATGGCTTTGTCCTGTTCGGTGACGCGACTCGGTGGTTTTTTTTTTGAAAAGAAAATACCCATTTTGTTCTCAAATAATGGACAACGTTATTAATTAAACTGTCATACGATGTTTAACAAAAAGCTAATGTCACGTTTAACATATAACTTGAGACACTGACAAGAAAACGCCATGGTGAGCGCCATGTTTCTCTAGTCGACCTATCGATAATTCTATTCTCGATTGTAGCGCAAACCAAAAGTGCGGGAAATGCAAACTATATATGTACCTAATTTATTTTATTAGAAATAAGTATCCCACTGCAAAATTTGATTAGAAATCAACTATACTATTGTTATATATAAATTCTTTAATTTTGATTAGACAAAGAAGGTCGATACAATTGTAATTGATCAATCTAAAAATGTAAATGTAATTTTTTAATTGGTTTAATTGATTTAATATATTTTAACGATTATTTAAGAGAAATATATTTTAAAATCTAAAGGAAACTGTCGATAGGAAAGATTATTGAAACTAATAAGGATACGATATAAGATCAGAAATGAGGAAAGAGAAAAACAACAAAGACGTTGGATTGAATTGAACAATGTCCATTATATTATATATTTTATTCCCACATACACACGGCACGTTGTGAACCTTTTCTTAAATATTAATAATATTATCGTAATAATAATAATAATCATCATCATCCTCGTTATCATCGCAATGATAATAATCTTAATAATAATAAGTAAACAATAATAAACATAATAATTGAATTCATGAGATATATTTATATTTATGTATATATATTTATAATAAATCATATAGTAATAATCATCGTATTATAATATATATTTATATGTACAGAGGGGTACAATGTTGTAATTCTTTATTAGTTTAATATTTATAATCGCAATATTATATTTATTTTTTGTCTGTATACATACACAATGAATTAGATTATCGGCCCTTTCTTACGCCACATACCTACGGCGGATAAATTCTCTCACTTTCTATCTTTTGTTCTCTATTTTGTTTCGCTTTTGTTTTTTATTTTTTTATTTTTTTTTGCATCTTTTTGTTACTCTTTTCCATTTAAATTTTAAAGGACCGTAATTTTCGCCCTTCGACGGCACATCATGTTCGCTACGCTCGAATATATTCACGGAAGAAAAGAGCCGCGGTTTTCGTAACTTTTTCTTTTCTTCATTCTTTTTTTTCACTTTTTTCTTTTTAATCCCTTTTTTCCTTATCTTTTCCATCGAGAAAGCCGTCGTCGAGTAAATTCGAGCTATCCCGAATACGCAATCGACTATACGTTTCTCTGAACGCGATCTCAATATAATCCGTGATCGTTTTGTTTTATCTTACAAAACATCCATTATAGTCTAGCCGCTTTTGGATAGAGAGTCGCGCGTTGTTCCTATCCACCTGTCCTCGGTGCCTGAAAATTTATCGACGATTTTAAATCACCACTAATTCGAACAATTTTTTGACTGATTACAAGAAAAGGTAAAAGCTTCTTCGCTCGTAATTTTTCGCTTTTGTTCGCTCGTTTATCTCGTTTTCTTTCTCATTCTTTTTTTTTTTTTTTATTTCACTCTTTCCTTTTTTTTTCTTTTTCACCCCTGCGTTCGCAGCCAACGAACATGCAAGAGAAACGCGCGGCTCTTTCGCCAGCAGCGCACTTTTCATAAATATTCTGTACAACGTTATAATTATTATAAATCATCATTATATCTTATATAGAGCCTTACCGTTATGTCATTATTATCGGTAGTGTAAAATTGAAACCTTTTACGTACTTATGTAGATTAGACATTACCGTCTGCGCGGCCGATGCCCGCCCGCAATCGTACTGTTTTTTTTTTTTTGCTTTTTAGTTTAATTAATTATTTATTTACCATTTTCATTTAATCTGTTCATTTAAATCGATACATAATCGTATAATTTAGTATGTCCCTATACGTATTGTAATCGTTTACGATTAGTAAGAATATGTAAAATCGGTACTTCGTCTTAGTTTCTTGGCTTTATTACTTTTTTTTTTCATTTTTCTTTATGCTCGTTTTTAATTCAATAAATCTCATTAAGCATCCACATAATTGTTTAATATACATGGAATTAAAAGTGGCTTATTTATTGCTTGTTATATTGCAAGTTTTCTCATTGCAAGCTGTACCATTACCGCCGAGCTTCCGTTTCGTTCTTTCATGCTATTCATCAATCCGCCTTTGCTTTGTGTTTTTTTATTTCTCGCGAGGCGTCGTAAAAAATATTTGTTTAAAAACCTTCGCTTCGTTCCCTTACTATGCGTGTTAAACAGAATCGGTAATTATTTAAATGACTCCCTAATTCGACAATGTGAACGACGAGACTCTAAGACTCTCCCTTGTTAAATTCATAACATGCCGTGTACACAAAAAACACTCGGTGTTCCTCGGTTGTTTCACGCGACAACGAAAATACAATATCACAAAAGTAAGGACAACGATGAACGGGATAAAAGCGAGTGTCTTGAAATTCGTGAACTCATTTTTCTTTTTCACTTCTCACACATGCACACAACGATCACGATGCAGTTCTATTTTATTTTCTTTTTTTTTTCGTTTTTTTCTTTTTTCTTTTTCTGAAACATTCTACGATCGTGTCGAAAAAAATCGACGAAAAATTGATTTCTCAGACTTCTTCTTTTTCGTTCGTTTGAATATATCTCCTTTTTGCCCTCTGTCATTTTTATTTTACGGAAGAGACGAATGAAATTATTGTGCTCGCGTGTCGGTGTGTTCGAGTAACGTTTACGTGACTGTTCGTGTTTTGTAAAGAAAATTAATGAAAGAAATAACAACACGATTATCGTGAAACGATTGTTCGATGACTCGACCGACAAAAAAAGCGAAAAAGGAGAGGAAGAAATTTGCGAGTCTGCGAAAATTGATGACGCAACGCGAAGTTAAAAGTACGAAACAATTTTTAGATCTCTTAGATCGGCACGATATGTAAATTGATGAAACAAGCAATAAATGTATGTGCTTCGAAAGCAGCACGAAAAACGAAATTTACCGATCACGTATCGTTAAGGAGACCTCGAATATTCACAATCTCGAAGATAATTGCCACTTTACCTATCGATTCGCATGACTCGATATTTAGGAACGAGCGTCTAAAGAGTGCAACAACTTTTGCCTGAACGATTCGAACACATCTGTTCCGATGGCCAAGAGAATCGAAAACCGAGGAGCGGTACAAACGGAACGTTACATAATGGCCGTTATCGTGTTCCTTCTTACGTTGTTGTACAAATGGGTACCGGTCGTTTGCGGTAAAACTGGAACGATGACATAATAGAATAAACGAAAAACGTCACGAGGAAGTACGGGGAACAGCGTGCAAGCGTGTTGTAAATTAATGCGAGTCATCGCAGTCAAGTAGTATTAGAAAATTTATCATTGAAAATACTCGCTCTATAATCGATTCTGTTCGCCCACGGAAAAAGTGCATCCGTCGAAACGAAACGCACGGAACGTTTTCTAAATATTTCCTGGGATTATCGTTTAATAACGTAGATACGATACGCTTCAATTAATGCGTATTTCAGAACACGTGAAAATTTGATATCGATCAACTGTATTACGTTTGATCGTTCGATCTTGTTTCAACGATACAAAGTGTAAAACGAGCTGCGTAATTTTTATGTATAAGAAAGAAAATGACGAGTGTCGATAATAATAATGGATGTCGAATGGAAAAAAAAAATAGAAGTGGTACTTTTGTAGTGTTACTGTACGATGGCTAGCAAAACTTCATTGAAGCTCGTGGCTGTTATATTCTTGTTCTGCACGCAGGAAGAATATCAACAGATTACGTATAACTGCTCATCCGAACGTGTGCACGTGTAATTACATGATTATATATACTTAGCCGTAATATTTTATGCTTTGCGTGCGCGTATATTATATAATATGTATATACATACATGTATATAATATGTATATACATATATATCGGTATGGGGTTATCTTCACATTTCATTAATCCGCGACTCGAAAAAATCGGCTGGACGTCTGTATAATTGGCTAAAATTCGATACACGAATCGGATTGACGTTTCTTCTTGATTTTCCAAGAAAACTTCTTCTTTCCTCCTTTTTCTTTTTTTTCTTTTTTTGTTTAAAAATGCAAACTCTCGTTCGAACGGGTGGTTTCCAAAAATCGACACGCGGAACAAAATAATCCTCGTTGATATTCGAGACGAGCCATGCGATTTCTTCAAGTCGTGTTTCTCCTCGGTAGAAACTCGAAATAAACGAAATGATCGGCTCGAAAACAATGACGACTGTATTCGCAATACAGTTGTATCCTGATAAAATAGAAAATGATAATGGAGCGCGTTATAATAATACTACTCGAACAATAACGTTGTCGATAATAATCGAATCGATAGTAATCGATCGTTATTAAAATACAATATATATATATATATAATGTAAGTCAACAGAAAAAGACAATAAAAGGGAAAACAAGAAGAAACATAATATTAATGATAATAATAGACGAGCGAGCTCTGTCAGCCCGCGTGTTCCCGTGACGCGCGAATAAAAATAATTTCTAAGTAGAATCCTTTTAGCCTACATCTTTGGCTGCGACTTTTCACTTAATAAAAGAACACCGATCGAAGTGGCACGATCCCGATCGATCAATTATATTACAACTGACTTGAAATACGACCGATCGAATCGTGCACCCGCGTTTGGAGCATTTCCCTCTGCCCGCCGGTTAGCAAACGCGACTTGAACAGGCTTAAAAATGGAAATCGAAACCGAAGGTACTACGAGCAAGTTCCAGAGGCAGTTGGTCAGCAGAGAAACGCTCGGAAACTTTTCGTGTCAAGTCGCAGCAAACGATCTCTCTCATACGCACGAAAACGTTGTTTCGAAAATTGTCTATCTATCTACGGACTTCTGCGAGTTCAACGCCATTCACTCTATTTTTTTTTTCTTTTCCTTTCGCACATTTATTATTTTTTTTTTTATTTTCACAAGCTCTCTCTCTCACTCTCTCCCCCTCTTTCTCACTCTATTCTTCTCGATCCACAGTCACATCGCGCGCACAGCGACGGGGGTTGTTTCTTTTTTTTTTTTCTTTTTTTATCTTCGAAATATCGTGCGACATCATGTCCGCGTTTCCTCCGTGTTTCTGTACTACAAGATAAAACGATTCGTGTGTCATCTTGTCACCTGTCAACGTTTGCTCAGTTGAGGAAACCAAAAAACGGTTATTCGCAGATTCGTGTCGTACAGCGAAAAGTACGCTAAACTAGCCGTTCTAGGAAACATATCAGCAGTCAAGAAATAGAGGGTGCATAGAAAGTGATCGAAGGATCGATATCGACGAATCCGTGAGACGAAGTGAAATTTCTGTTTTTTTTTTTTTTTTTTTTCATTACTTTAATCGTTTGTCTTTGTTTTATATTGGTGTATTTGGTTTGTTTATTAGAACAAGTGTAATTTATAACTGGACGAGATTAATCAACTTGTGTAATATGTGTTTCCGTTATGTTAGCAACTGTTTTGTGTACACTTTGTTTCAAAGAGTATTATTCTCGTTGTATCGTAAGAAAACTCATGACCGAAGGTATCTATGTGTACTGTGTGTTTGTCTGTGTTTCGTATCTGTTTATAGAGCAACTGTACGGATTAGAAAGTGATACAATTAAAAAGAGTGTTCGTAAAATCTAACGTTTGAATCATTTGGGCCACTCTATTCGTCTGTTCCAAATATGGAACTGTTATATCGTTATACGCTAATAGACTGAACGTGAAACATTATTTCAGAATGATGAACGATTTATGCGCGAGCAACTATTGCTGTTGAGTCAAGCGCAAACAGACTGAACGCGCCACTATCTTTCATTAATTGCAAACGGCTTAAATACGCTTGATTATGTCGGATTTGCTCGCAGTGGCTTCTTCATTAAATTATTACTCGATATTGCTGTATTCTCTACGAAATATCGTACGATCGAACGACTTCTCGATTACTTTAACTCTGTCTAACGCGAGGTGGTCAAATTTGAAAACAACTTGATCAACAAGAAATAAAACGACAACAAAAATATTCTTTCATCGTGTTAAAATACTGTTACTTGTATCTTTACGCTTTCTCATAAAGGAAAAGAAAAATAAAATGAAACGACAATTTTTCATATAATAACGATATTTTTGTAACGATAAAGTATATAATGGAAACGTTATTTATAACCGCTATTTGCACTCGAGTGCCGATAAGACTAAGTATCGTTAAAGTGGTTTGCTATTATATTTCATTGCACTCATTTTCATATCATTGTACACGTGTGTCGCGCATACCTATCGCATGAAAATTTATCAGTCGTATGCTTCTGATTTCAATTTCACCGTACAATCACGGAATGACAATAATCGATTAATCACTTGATTAACATCTTCCTCGCACTCTCTTTACACAATTGTGACCTCCATTTCCGTTCTCCTACCCTCTTCTCGCGCTGTGTATATTTATATATATATATATAATATATATATTTTTTTTCGATTATCGTAATTATTACTTATTATTTATACGCGTGTATATTTATATTTATATATATATTTATATACGTGTCGGTATCTGTATGTGTGTTTATCATACGTGTACAATGTAGAAGTGTTCGTGTGAGCGTGTCAATTGCGCGACGAGTGATCGAGCTCGGTCGATGAGCAAGCGCGGTCTTCCGAACTTTTTCTATCGTCATCGAGCCTCTACGCTTTCCTGTGTTCGACGAAAATTCATTCAGGAAAAATGAACCCCGTTCGTGTAAAAAATCGAAAGAGCATCGCAAAACAAAAGAAGACTTGACTGCATCGCACAACGAGCTCGCCTCCCTCGCATTTCTCTTCCCGTTTTTTTCTTTTCCATTTCTCTCTCCGCTTCATTTTCTTCTCTCGCCCTCCCATGCTCTTGCCCTACCCTCATCCACCCTGCTTGCACCCACGCTCGGCTTTCCTCCCCACGATCATCGGTGGTGATCATCGAAAAATTGTTCAGTACAATAGTATATTAGCTTTTAAAACATCAATAACTATATATATATACAAATGCATAAAACAATGTCTCAATATATCTGTTCATCTTCCATAATCGTCATATTTTTTTATTTTGTCTGTTTGTCGCCTTAATCAATTTAATATATTTATATATATATAGTCATAATATATATCTTGCCTTTCTTAATCGTTCAATATGTATATTTATATTTATATATATATATTTATATTTATATATATTTATATATATACTAGATGTAGATATAGACGTAATATTTCAATATTAATGTATTTCATATTTATAAATATAAACGCGTGGACTGTACTCACATATATATTTTGTTTGCTCTTGTTTCATTTTTAATTTTTCCCCCTATCCCCCCACCCCTACCACTTATCTTGCGACACCCTTTTCTTCTCTGTTTTTTTTCCCCCTCTTCTCTTTATTCTTGCTTCTATATCGACCGCATTTTTTGTTTGTTTTGTTTGCTTTGTTTAATTAATAATTGATCGTAGATCTCTTTCGAATATGTATATATTTATATATTTATATATAATTTTCTTTCAGAGGATTCTCGTTGAAAGTCGCCCGGGTTCCTGCCACAGCATTGTTGGCTCGTCTCGCGAAAGGAACGACGAAACGATTTAAATAAATAAGTTTAAAAATAATTCTAAAACACCTACACATCGCTCGAACATAATAATAACTATCACATTGCTTCGTTATATTCACAACTTCAACAGAATTGCCATCGTTCAAAAATTCAAAACGAACGAATCGTTAGCATTAATTGTATAGTGTAAAAGCTTTAATAATGCGATAAACGATTACTTTTCAGGAACCCAAGATCCTTTCAGCACGCCATTCAGCCTAACTGCGAAAAGTTACAACTTATACACTTAATTATGACTGTCTTCTCTCTTTTGCTATTTCCCGTTTTATGTGTGTATACCTCCTACGTTTTCTCATTTTGCCCATCCGCTGCGATCTCGTGCGTCAGCGTCTCTTAAACCTACAATCTCGTTATATTTTTACCATCTTTGAGCTGGTGCTTATGTTCTCATGTATTTTTCTCTTTATTCCTTTCTTTCTCGACTCTTTCTCGCGCGATGTCTCCGTCTATTTGAACAATCAGCGCGGCAACCGCGATACATGAAGCGTTCGACGCGTCTATTTGACGCTCGTTTAACTTATTTGTCTCTTACCGAATCCAACGAACATAACCGAAGAATAAAGGCAACAGAAGGTGCTCGCAAAGCTATGACTATATTGCATTTCATTCGCAAAACGTACGCGATTTCATGTAACCACGAGAAACAAACTCTGTCGGAATCGAAATGTAAAAAAAAAAAAAAAAAAAAGGAAACTAGAAATGGAACATCGTCGACAAAACGCTCGTTTCTGCGTACTTGTTTCTTGCAATCGTTTGAAAGCAGCATCGCTGTATAAGTAGCGTACGGTCTACCGATAAAATACCAATCTTTATATTTTAGAGTGTACGTGTACGTGTTTCTTCATTTCTTCGTATCTCATGTTTTATCTGAGTTTTCCTTTGTTATTCGAATTATTAGTTGCCTGGATAATAACCGGTTTGGTCCGATGCATAGTAACTTTTGTCTTTTTTTTTTTTATATGCGTCTATGACGTTAGTCCTGGGGCGTAACGAAGCAGCTACCATTTTGTTTCGCTTGCAAGAAATCGGTTTTGCAGCGTCTAAAATACACGTGATCGCAGTTCGTTTCGCCGTACGTTTCTCTCTTTCAGGAATGGCGATTCATTCACATTTCGCTCTTTTTGCCTTTTTTTTCTTCACCTTCTTCTTTCTTCTGAGAACGAGCGAAGATCACCCGTCACGCGTGTACACATCACCAACTTAAGAAATCATGTAGTTTATTCGCGATATAGTTTACTCGTGTATATTATTATTATTATTATTAGTTTCTCTTTTTTTTCTCGTTCATTATTTGCCATTTTTATCCTTTGTGGTTATGACGAAGTATTGCTAACGTTCGTAAGAATTGACTCGTTTGTTCATTCGTTTTTTTCTTCATTCTTTCTTTCCTTTTTTTTTTCTTTTTTGTATTTCTTCTTTTTGACTTCTATTTATTTTTTTTTTTTTTTTCATCGTGCGCACGCACACCCGCGCACAGGAAAACAAAATGGCCGCCGTTCGACGTGACACGCGTCCCAATTTAAAGTCATCCCTATTCTTCGTTTCATTATTTTTTTTTTTTCTTAATTCTTTGTTTTACCCTGTTATTGAATACAATAATAACCGTACCTAGAATTGTCGCACGTATATCCGTCGTTTTGTAATAATTATAATTAATTTGTCGCTCGTTGACTCTCTCACTTGGCGAATTCAATAATGATAATCAATAGTATTGTACGAAACAGTTTAGATCAGCAATATCAACGAAATATAAATTATACAGTTCGCGGAATGAGTTTATGCACGTCGACGGTTTATTTTCTTTTATTATTATTTTCTTTTTTTTCTTTTTACATCTCTCCCCTTCTTCAGAAGCAGGGAGGTTCGAACGTCGCGACGCCCTTCGAGCTTCTGAGTCGAATTATTCCTCGAGGGCCGGCTGAAGTTTCACAAAATATCACGTGCGCCGAAGAAACGAAACGAAGAAAATGATATACCTCCCTGTTTCCCGTACGATATTACGCTCATTTAACCTAGACCAATTACGAGTAATCGAATGGAGTATCCCCGTTCGCGCCCTTTGCCCGTCCAATCAGCGAAATATACCTCGAAGCGCGAAAGAACGCAAGAATTGTTTGATGTTCAGTTATTCCACGATTAAGGCTACGATACGCAATTGAACGTTCTCTCACGTTTCCTTACGTCTTTCCTTATGCTTCGCCCGCATAAACTTCACAATTTATCTCTCCTCTTATCGTTTCTTCTTGTTTCTTTAATTTGCAAAGTGGCATTTTCCGACGACCGTGTCTCGCAAATTTTAAAGATTTAATTGCTCTATTCTTTCTCTCGCTCTCGCACACACGTATGGACACTCTTTCTCTCCCACTCTTTCTCTCACACGCATCCGGGTTATATAGAGACGCACAAAAATCTCACTTCGCGTTCAAAGTGTCATCCTTATTGTACGCGTTACTCTCGCTTCCGCTTTTTATGCTCATGCACTGGCGCATCAAAAATTGGCGATCACGCCATTAACTAACGCTCTGTACATATACGGACGCACGGTACTTAATAACTGAATACACGCGTATGTGTGTATATATTTATATATAATATATATATATTTTTGTTTTTCCTTTTAACGCAATTTTGCTTCGCTGCATTTGATGGCTTGCGTATGGTTTCTCCTGGTGTGATGTGAGTACGTGTCTGTGTGTCGTGTGTATACATGTGTATATGTCTGTGTATAGATAGGCATGTGTAAGAATAATTCGTTTAAAAAGCCGCGGACGCATGTGAAAACGTATATATAGTGTTCGTGTTTAAAGTTGCCTGCCTCTGTATGTATGTGTGCGTGAAATGTAGAAGATACTTCGTGTATGTTTATAGTGAGCCTGTGTGAAATGCGTATCGGTAAACGTTGCTTGTGTTTCCCTTGCTGGCTCCTCTATAGGGTCATGCATATACGCCATTATGGTAAATCAATGATACAATAATTCGCGTACGTGTAATATGTATGTATGTACCGAGGTTAATGCAAGTAATCGATTGGACAGCTATACAATAGCCGATTAAATTCAACGGTCATCGTTTCGGCATTGGATGAGGCCAGACTTCCGACGATACAACGCTCGGGGCTTGGCGTTCTCATACTCGATCTCGCGACCCTGTATGTTCTAACGTTCTCTCTCGTTCTTCTCTTCTTCTATCGAACAGCGTCCTTCGCCGCTGGATGACTATCTCCTCTTCCCCATATTGACATGCATTATCTTAAAAGCAGATCGCATTCTCTTCCTGTCTTCCTCTTTCTCTCACTGTTTCCCTCATTTCCTTCTCCCTTTGCTCGTCTAACTTACACAGAGCCTCGCGAGTTCCAATCTGTCGATCTCTCAGCTTCTGTCGATCTTTCCAATTTCTCTTTTCTTTTTTTTTTTTTTCTTTTCCCTTTTCATCCATTGCACGATAAGCAATGCAAACACCGTCACCGTTATTCGTGTAACACGCGTGTCTACGTCTATGTACGCAACCTCCCTCCGCTCCTTGCTCTTTCCGTGCTTTATTCGTCCTCTTTTCTCCCTCGTTGCACACCCGGGAAAAGGGAAAAGTGCTTCGACGATGCCGGGGCGAGCGAGAAGTGCCATTCCGGCATTCAGTCGGCAAAGAGCACGCTGAGAAGTGGCGGACACGCGCGCGCAAGAAACAAAGAAAAAAAGGGCGAAGCCCACTCATGGCCTGCCTAGCGCCCTCGTTGTCTCGTCTCCTAAATCTCTCTACCCGACTACCACCACCCCTTCGTCACGCATCCGTGTCAGGTTGAGCTCCGCCGTGTCGTCGACTCGCGCGCTTCGCGAAGAAAATTCCTTAATACATTCCTTTTTGTATTTTTTCTCGTTTATTTTTTGCTTTTTTATTGTTTTTTTTTTCGTTTTGTTATTCACTCCGCTTCTACGCAACTAAAAAACTCGAAAGCCCAACAAGGAGACGCCACTCTTCCCGGGTGCGAACGTGCGTTACGCGTATAATAATTATATACTTTTTTTTTATTATTTATATTTATATTTATATTTTGTATTTATATTTATATTTATATTTTTGTATTTGTATTTATATTTATATTTATATATTTATATATTTATATGTATATCGCGCACGCGTACACGCGCGAGCTAGCACGGCGCATGGCTCCTCATCCTTTTTTGTTGTTTTCCTTTTTTTTGTTTGTTAATCAGTTAGAAAAAAAAAAGAAGAAAAAAGAAGTTTCGCCATAGTGTTATACAATAATAACCATTAATCATAATAATATTCGTATGTAAGTTGGTATTCATCCGTCACGTTTTTCGTCTGCCTTAAATACTAAGGATCCATACGTTTTTTTTTTCTTCTTTATCGTTTAATATTTATCAATTATTTATATATATATATATTTATATATTTATATATATATTCTAGACTTAATCGCTTAATTATTTAGCAATTAATAATATTAATTTAATTTATTATTATTATTATTATTATTTTATTATTATTATTATTATTATATTATTCTTTATTAATGTCAGAGAACGGGCATTAATAACGCAGTTTCGGCCACATCTACCATTATACGCAGCTTCCGCCCATCGCGTTTCCGTTACTTTCTTCTTATCTTAACTTTCTCTACAATCTTGCTTTTTCCCCGCAAACTTTCTGGACGTGTACCGCGATTTACAAATTTATACAGATTTTCCTCGCATTATTGTTTCCTGTCTTCCTCCCTCTCGCATCGTGCTTCTTATTTTATATCTATATATATATATATATATCTATATATCTATGTGTATATATATATATATATATATTTTTTTTTTTATATATATTTTCTTTTTAATTTTCTCGTGCCCTCCTAATGCTTTCAACTTTGGTTTTTTCTTATTTTCCTCTTCCGCTGGAAAGTCACAGTTTGCATTCGATCGTTGAAAATTGTTGCGGCCGATCGATCACGCCCGCAAAGTCGAAGCCCTCTCGCCAGGTGGAAACCGTTATCCATCTATCTAAATCGCGATTCTTCGGTTTATTGCTGGTGATGGTGCGCATCCCGTTCCGTCCAGAGTTCGTTCATTGTGGTGAATTTTTCCAAGGCATTTACATCGCTCACTGTACCGTCAGTCGACCATGCTGCGCTCTGCCCTCTCGTCCATCCTGATGAAAAAGAAAATCGTGGTTCGTTAGTGATAGATTTTGCGACACGCGCGACACGTACATTGTCGGAAGCCACGATCTTTGTGAAATCAGCGCAAGCGGTTCGTGTTACTGTTGGAGTGAACTTGAAAGTGAACGGGTGGTAAATCGAATCTAAAATAAAATCCTTTCGTACTGCAGTTTGATAAGCTCTCATTCGCGTTTGAACAATTTTATTTTAGATTTCAAGTAATGCACAGTGGCCGCCGCAAGTATTTCCCAACCAGAGTGAAACTTCATTTCAATCAAGACCGTGCATTAATAACACTCTCCTTGTAAAATTTTTTATGACATTCTCAGAAACTCTTTGTGCCCGGAAAACTCCTGGCAGCCACCGTAAATGAGAACTGAATCGCGAAAGCATTTTAAACATTCAGCGTCCTATTAAATATTTATATGTATTTCTCGTCACAGTCAAGGAATTAACATAAGAAATATTTCATGTAGCATACTAAGTCGAAACTTACAGTGAATCGTTATGGAAACCTAGTGTTTCTGTTACATTCAGCGTTTGCTACAGAAGAAGTATTTCGTTACCGTATTCGTATTTGATAAAGCGCTATAGTCGAAGAAAATAACAGGAAATATTATAATCGTTCGAAAACGTGATTAACTGAAATAACGTTTCGTGGAACATATGATGGAAACTGCTTACAGCTATACAATGAATATATCAGTGAAATAAGTACGTATAATTACATATAAACGTACAATTACATATAACGTAGAATCGTTCGATTTCAATGTTATAAAGAACTTCAATGCTGTGCAATTACTCTTATCGAATTAAGAAGATCTGTTTCGCATTAAATGTCGCGAAGCATGAAATACTTAAATAGAAAGATAATTTAAAAGTTAATGCAAGAGAACGTGACTACGTACCTGTTATTAGGTCTTAACAAGGCTCAATGGTAGCCATTAGTGAACGCCGCTGGTATTAGAGGACCCTAAAATACGAAAAGAAAAATTTCATCGAGGTTCACGTATGATGGTGTCAAGAACAGGATTTCATTTATTCTCCTACGGTTATTTGGAAAACATGGTAAAAGAAAAAGGAGAATGTTTTAATTACGTGCAATTGCGATACTTGACCTGGAAGGTTGCATCGTTTGATTAAAAAATTTCCTCGAAACGATGAAAGAGAGAATAAATAAGAACCAAAGGGGGAAAAACAAAATGGAACAAAAACTTGTAATATTGGCAAACTGAGAAGCTCAGCGTACTGAAATCAGTCGAAGCTATAGCAACGTAAGTTACAAACTTTAATAGAAAAAAAAAAAAAGGAAAAAAGAAGAAAAGAAGTTGCACCATACTCTCGAATCTCTCGACTTTTCTTTGTCTTTTTATCTTGTTCGAATATCTTTTTTAAAGTACACTGAATAAATAAAAAAAAAAAAAAGGTATCACAGGCAAGTTTAATAATTCGATGCTGCTAGTACGATTAGCTGTTGGAAAAGTTTTTCGTTCAATCCAACTCTGTCGGCACGAAAAGTTTAATTAAAATCTATTCACACCCTTTTAACAAGGGAATGTGTTAAACGAATATCAATTGAACCAGACTTCAAGCTGCTGGTGTACAATGGTAATTTTTAATTTCGTTCCAGTGTTTGAAATTTCTTTCGTTACTTCTCAACTCTTTGAAATATTATAATGTGACATTCGTCTACGAAGTAATATAATCAAATCAAGTTAATTCTTACGTTCTAGCATCTCTTTTATAGAAAATATCAAGAAATACCTTCGTAAAATATTATTTAAACAACAGGTTCTGATGTCAAGTAGTATAAGTCAATCATTAACGACTATCACGCTCAATTCTTTCTTAAATCAGTAAAATGGTAAAAAAAAAATCAACTTTTGTTAACTTTCTGATCTAAAATAATTTAATCTTCAAGATGCACGTATGCAAAATAATTATTTATATCATTAATTAATCTTTAAAAGTGGACAGTTTTATATTTGCACCTGCGGCGAATAGATTTGATTCAATATGCTCGGAAATAAATTCTTACACGTTATTATTTTATATTCTGTTATATTAGACTTTTCTTTATTACCTATAATTCGTTATATTTACAAATATTATTATTACATTTTTGCCTACGTATATTTATTCCACAACTGTTTGACAATAATTGTATCTCCTTGCATCTTATAAAATTTCAATCACTTAATTCTTAAGTACGGACAAACTCACAATTCTCTAAACGTATGCTTGAAAAAAACAGAATCAAAGCCAAGATTTGTTTCCCTTATTTAATATCGTAGCCTTATATTTAATCTACATCGAATATTGTTCTAGTTCTGCATATTTGAGTATCAATTTCTTACAAATGGACAAATATTCGCAGTCTGCGGTTTCTGTTTCTGCTCATCGAAGTAAATTCAAAATTCTGCTATCGGTTCTTACCGGCTAGCCAGTACCACGTGACATCGAGAACCTTTCTAAAAGCTACGACAAGGACAAATCCCACGGGGCCGTAGGTCGGTCGCGAGGGGGATCGTGCAGAATGGACTTACGGGACTGTAGTTGAGCGGGGCACGGGACACGGCGATCGCAGGGAACGCGGTCGTAGGGGGCTGCGGACTAGCTGCGGCCTGGACGTAGCTGGCCACTGCGGAGTCCGCGGCTGCGGCTGCTGCTGCGGCTGCTGCGCTTGAACTATACATGTCGATGGGGCCCGGCGAGTTGGCCGCAGGAAATGATCGGCCCTGTGGCCCACCGTGGCCACCGGCCGCGTGCGGCGACGCCGGCGGAAATCCGGCCTGCGCTGCGGCCGCCTGGTAGTTGTTCATCACTGCAACGAACGCGCCCGTCATTTCTTTTTTCTCTTTTTCTTTTCAGTTTTTTTTTTTTTTTTTTTCAAACGTTGCCCAACGCACTGCCACCTCCTCAACATCGGCTGACCAATTAGCTGCGCTGCTGGATTTCTGTATGGTCGTCGAGCACGAAACGCTAACCAAGTGCTTGGCGAATTAGTAATAGGTTTGGGTTAGGTGAAAGAGAGTGTTGTTCGGAAGAAAAGTCAAGTTTTAAACTAGATGATTGGTTGACAAGTACAGATTGTTTGAAGGGTGATCGATCAACCCGTTGTCTCGTTAATTTCGTTGAATTTTTGAGTCTTTTATCCCTATTGTATGATACCGGCCACTTATATCTTAATTGTATCTCAACTATCAGAATGACCAATTTGTAACTTCTTGTGGAAGTAGTTTATGGATTTACCAACCTTTTCTCATTTTCATTTCTCTGATGCAATTTTTACGTTTCAGTCGTCGGTAGCTCTACTGTTAATTATCATCCCGCGAAATTGGCCCAAGAATAAAAGTCAGCACGCAAATTTCCTTGTTTTGTATGGTTTCCTTCGTCTGAGTTAACTCTCTGTTAATGAGGCAAGGGGTTGAAACGATCGAGCGAGTCACTGTGTGTAAATCAAGTGCGAAACGATTTAAGACTAGACTCGGTCAGCTTTTCTCGTAACCGTGAAAAACAATCGGATTTGCCAGTTCGATGGCACATTTCTAGAAGATTCGCGCCAGAGTGCGTGTAAAGTTTTTTCGTTTCAGTTTATTGTAATCAAAGTGTAGCCGATTGAGATTTCAAGGTGAAACAGATACGTGTTTATGATGTTTGTAGTATTTAGAATAAACATATATATGTAGAAGAAACATTTTTCAACGCATACACAGAAAGTACATGGCAAAAGAAAAATTTATAAGACACCAAGAAGCAAGATAGAGTAGAGTTTTATAGAATATATACGCACATAATTGTTTCAGCCAAATGCTTCCATTACATCGAAATTAATCAAATTCAACACTCGAACGCGAAAATTCCGATTGTTTTCGAATACTCGTACAACTGATTGAAACATCATACACTGTACAGGTGAGAAGAATTCGTTAACAGCATGCTAGAAAGACGAACACGTTGATTAACTTATTCATAACCATTAATAAAAGGCTATTTCATAATGACTAACGTAATTCCTCTGTTTCAATGATTCTACGCTCTCGAAATATTAATTGTAACATCGCTAAATCATTATTTACGTCAGTATGCTAATGAGAAATTTATCGAAACTAATGCGTCTCTTCAACATCGCTCTAATGAACACGCTTTACAATATCAGCAACAAAATCACGCAATCAACACATATCACGGTAACTTGCGTTTCTGTGCGTGTGTATATCCTGCAGAAACATCTCAATTAGAAGGTACATGTGAAAATAAATTTATACCCTTCAGACGTGGAAAAGAAGGGAGAAATAAAACCAGGAATCGACACGGTTTGTCGTCTACGTTTCCATTTCCCCGCTATATGAACAGGGACGAATTGGTAATAGACATCGAATAAAAGACACGAACACTGGTACGACACAAGAAAAAGATAAATAAAAATATATATATATACAATACACAGAGAGAGAATAGTACAACAACGTAGTCGCTGGCGGAGACAAATAATCGTGACACACGTAAAACGTGGAAGAAGCAAATAAAAGAAGACACACTCAATAAGCGGATTGCAAGACAGCTTTTGCGCGTAATGGAACAGCAGAAAACCACTGGGAACACGGATACGATATACCGTAGACATCACCAGGACAAGGAACGCAATCGCACGAGACAGTAACGACGACCAAACACCGCGAGCAAGTATCGCCGAGCTCTAGTGACTCTTGCTCATAAACGCGGGCGGATTTCCTTCTCGAGAGCAACGATCTCACGTTCTGACTCGCGTTTCCGTTCGCGCGTCGTTGTGACATCTCTCTTCGCTCGTGTTATTCGGCAAATACGGCAAAATAGAACATGCTGTAAGACGAAAAACAGTAAGGGGGAAAAAAAATGAAGAAATGGATGGAGTAACGTGAAACCAAAGGAACGAAAGAGGAGAAAGTAGAAAGAAAAGGTCCACGGAGAAAAAAAGGGGAACGTCAACGTTCTAACGTTTGCTTCTCAACGTAATACGTAATGTCACAGCTTGATAAATATATATGTCGAAATTAATATTTCTTTCTTTTTTCCATGGACCCTTCAATTTCTGCTCGCATTCCACATACAGAAGTAAGAAGAAATATCTGGCATTCAGAAAACAAAACGGGGACGAGCGAAAATCGAGCAAACAGCAGATCGATTATATAGGATAATAGCCACTCGAAAGGCAAAACGTAACTGATGCAGCGACACCAATGCACAACGATCGTGGATAACACTTAATTGGCCAGAAGTACACGGGCAACGAGAACCGCTCGAGCCTCTCTCGAAATAACGAAGGGAAAGGAAAGAAAACCACGATCACGTGTTGCGATCTCGAGGACCTCGCCGAGGGTCATTCATCAGCCGTGTTCCTCCTTGTATTAGCAGCTACCACGCCTGACAGACTAAAATATACCTCCCCGGAATTGTGCGAACTAGGTCCAGGGGTTTTCGGCGAATAAATTGCCAACTTGTCATCCACGCATCGGCTCGAAAAGCTCCGTTTCAGCCTCGGATCTCGCGCAGCAGCCGACCGAGCGAAACGGCGAAAGAGATTAATGTGCGCGAGCGAACTGGAGGATAGATCTCGCACACGTGTCTTTCCTCAACACCAACCACGCACGAACCACCGTGAATTCCCAATTTTTCTATGCTCCGTATAAATTTCAATATCTAAAATCGAGACTATTTTCTCCGGGGAATTTTCACAGGGGAAAGTAATCGATTGGGTTTCCATCTGTACAGAGTCCCTTACGAAAGTGTTCGAACACACGCTAAGGAAAATTCTCGCGTGCTTGGTGATATATCTTGAAATTTTATTACCACGTGTTTGTTCTGATTATATTGGTGAAGCTTGAGACTCATCGGAATATAGAGTTTTATATTTGTTAATACTGCCAACATTTATTTAGTAAAACTTGGTATTTCTAAGCTACTTTACAAGCGAGTTATATAATATATAATACGTACTTCGTTAAGAAACTTCTGAAAAAGTTTCTCCAGTGAGTTTCAGATTTCACTTCAAATTTCAACGATTTGGTCGAAACTTAAGAATGTTCGTTGCAACACATGGTATATTCAAAAGAAAAATACCTGTGAATGTTCGAATGCTTTCTTCAGCGACTGCGCGCACGTATAACACAATAACGACGACTTCGAGGAAGAAGCGAAAAAGGAAGACGAATCTCGCTACGAGATTACGGAACGTGTAGCCACGGACACGGGTGACTAGGTGTAGGTCGAAGACGAAGACGGCGAAAAGATTCCGTGCAGACGGTGGTGGAGGAGGAACGCGAAGAATCTGAAACTCGTCGGTAACGGGGGGAGGAAGAGCGAAAGGGAAGAGTATGACAAACCGAAAACGCTCGATGTACAATCTAAAACCCCATTCAGCTTTTAAACTCTTGACAATGGCGGCCGGTTACAAAGTTTTCTGCCCGGTCGCCGGATTCGTCGATGCGAAGTACGGGGGGGAGGGGGGAGGGGGGGGGGAGGAACACAGAGGAGGGTGAGGTCGAGCGCGATTCAAAAGTTTGATTTATTTGAGAGGAGATTGCGGACGGCAGGGGGAGCGGACCGGGCGGATCAGGCCAGATACTGCGACCAGCCAGAGAGAAAAAGAGAGACACGTGGGATGGAGAGAAGTGGAGATAGATGAGGGGGGAGGGGCGAGGAGGAGGAGAAAGAGGACGAATAAAAAAAATAAAAGGGTTGAAGTTGGTGTATTTCGCTGCCGGCATCCAACCGTCCTACATGTGTGACACTTTTCAGAATTCCGCGCCGCCTTTTCTTCCTCCCCCCGCTGTCTGGATTGCCCCCCTCGACCTCGCGCCGCTCGCGAGCTAAGAAGAAAGTCCTTTCACCGGCCGTGTGTCGTGAAAAGTCGGCCATTTTCCCAGAAATTAGCACGAAAGAATTCTTGGGAAAGAATTTCACGCGGGAATTGCGACGCTGGGGTTTTTCTTTGCTCGTTTAAGAGAGAGACTCGTCCCAAGTAATCGTCGTGCGCCTGATTCATTCTGGCTAAAGCGGAATCGAAGTCTTGGTTATTTGTTGGGAAACTGTCGTAGAACTTTGCAACTGATGGATTTTCGTTTAAGAATGAAATGAAAGATGATTGGTTAAATATGTCAATTATGATGACACTGTTGTAACTAGATTTATGCGTCTATGAGAAATTTGTATAAATATGTATAAAATATCCAAAAGACAATATATTAATAAACTGAATAAATCTTTACTTAGAGTCTATTTTTTTCTTCAATTATATGTCCATAGAAGTATAGAAATGCATAAAAATCCACGGTCCAGTTATAAGTTAACATTGACTGCTGGGTGGACTATGTACGTATGTACATGTCTGAAGTACAGAATCCTCTCAACCTCGTCACTTATCTCAATTCATCAAGAACTGAAATAACTAATTAAATTTATCCCAACATCTTCCATCTTTTTAAAAGTCTTTCATCCAAGCTCTACGTATCAGTAAAAGATTAGTAACTTTACAATCGACGAATGAAAGATCATTCACAGAACAAACAACCATGCGTGAGATCGACCAAGAAAAACGAAGAAATCCATCTGTAAGAGATTAACCGGCTGTGCGATCACGCACCAAAGAATCGAAGAATTAGAGCAAAAGTCGCTCGGCCACATATAATCATATTCATATTCAGAGGCTAACCTTTTGGGAAGTTTGGCGAGCTGAGACGAGACGGTTTCGAGCTTGTTCGCCACTCAAAGTATACGAAGGAGCCGAAGCAGCCTTGCAATTTGCCATTACGGCGTAATGCAAAGCTTGTTTCTGTTAAAGCTCGAGAATCGAATCACGAAAGAGGATTGAATTACACGAGTTCCAAGTCCCGTTGCAAGCGGCGTCGTAATACCGGATCCCAGTCTAGCTATATCGTAACGTCTCGATCTAACAATCACGAAGGCCTCGTGCTAAGAAGCGAAGCTGCTATCGTCGTGATTCTCTATCCCTTTCTCTCTCTCTCTGCCCCTCCCTTTCTCTCTCTCTCTCTCATTCCCTGTCTCACTCTTCCGTCGTTATTGCCTTTCGTTATATCGCGTGACTCGATAATGAAAAGCTATCAAGAATCGGAAATCGTGCGTCGTTCCCAGCGTACCTATTGTCCGTGCATTCTGATATGTACATAATATACATAATACAACGATATCGGTAAATGTACGATGCGTATTGTAAGTACAATCGTCGAGACCCTTCTTGTTTTTTTTTTTTTTTTTTTTGGTTTCTCTTTTAACGAGGCGAGTAGAAAATTAAGAAAGCGGTAGAATAGAATCGAAGCCGAAAAGAATGGAAAACATTTTAGACGTACCAGAAAGTGCTTGCGTGAGCAAGGGCGTGTTGTTGTTGGGGGTGAGCTGTCCGTTGGTAAGATCCACTGAAACATAAAACTCTGATCACAACTGCTCCGCGCTTTATGGCGTATTACGCGATTTACGCGCGCTCTCGCTACTCTCGTTTTGGCTGCCGCTCAGGCAGAGAGTGAGAGAAAGGGAAATAGCACTGTCTGTGGCTGATCAAAGGAGAGAGAGAGTTTCCAAAAAAAAAAGAAAAAAAAAGTAGTAGAAGAAAAAAATGAAGAAAAAAAAAAAGAAAATAAAGAAGTAAAGAGACATCGTGTGTGACGCCAAAGTGACGGCCGAAATGGAAGACGAAAGACGTGATTTTTCCATGTGTGTTGCTTCGTCGTTGATCCTCTCTGTACGTTGTGCGACGATCGAGCGTGCACAGTCTCCTTCAGCATCCTGATCTCTCCCGCGATCCTCAGATTAAACGATTTCTCCCTTTCTTTCCGTTGCTCTAACCTCTAGCTACGGACTCGTTGCTAACTTCGGTCCAAATTGGAACCCGGAGTCGACGTTTATTACACTCGCAAAACTCGTCGTTGCTACAGTCCTCGTAAAGGTGGAATTTGCTACAACTCTTAGCGTTCCGGCGTGTGCGTAAAAGATTTATCGATTGAACGAAGCATGTTCCTGTTTGTCTATGCTGTTTGCGATATTCAAACGGAAATTTCCATTTCTACATCTGTCGAGAGATATATATTGCATTTTTATTTACCATTCTTGCCATTTCTTTTCGCGAACTCCTTTGTTTATAACGATATATATAAACATTACAAGTTTTCGTCGTTCCATTACATTTCCCTTTTGCTATCGTTTTCTTTTCTTTTATTCTACCATGATCGATCGAAACATTCGCTGCAATTTCAGCTGACAATTAACATGGAACACGGAATATCGACAAACAATAATTGACAGCACATCTTTCAGTTCAACGAGTCCCCGAATATCACAGGTGTGACGATTTCTTTTTTTTTTGGTATAACGGGGGATTCGCAAATGTGGACAAAACAAGGACATACTTCTCCATTGTGTCGCAGAGGCTAACTCTCACCGAGAATCCCACCTTTACCTTTCGAACACCACGAATGCCACAATGAAATATTCGAACATGGTGAAACGTTCGTCGACCACAGATCATCCATTTAAGCAACCCTTTCCCATTCGTCCGTGTTGCGTTGCGCGATATTTACCTGCAAGTCTCCTCGAAATACACGCTCTACGCGCGTGGAAAACCGTACGAACGACCGAACAACGCATCACCGTACCCGAAAGTTCGTAAAATATTTGTCGTTGATAATAGAACCAATGGCTATCGGTTGGTACACGGGGTTACGACGACCAGGCAGGCTGACTCGTCGAAATCGACGCGTCTCGCCGCGCTGTGATTTCTCGTTCGCGGGATCGACGAACGCAGAAATGTATGAATCGCGACCAATGACGCGGAACAGAAAACGCTTCAGCTCTGTCCCTCCCTTCAGAAACGCTTGGCGAACGAAATGGCGAAACGATCGGCGAAACTTTTCGTAACGCCGATAAACTGTAACGACAACGATCGATGTTTCGCGAGAATGTGAAAAAGAAGAAGAGGCGGATGACGAAAGGAGAAATAGATATGTTACAGAGAGATGTAAAAACAGATGGATGGATAGATGGAGAAAGAGAGAGAGAGAGAGAGAGAGAGAGAGAGAGAAAGAGAGAATTGAATGAAGAAATGTAGAGGTATGAGCGGAAACGCAAAGACAAACGGACAGACAGACAGAAAGAGGGAAGAAGGCGTATTCTTTCTTTTTTTCCACAGTCCAAAGTGAATGTCGACTTCATACATTTCTTCCGGAGCGCAGTCCGTTGAACGTGTTGCATCGGTGTCTCCGTATACACGCGGCTTGCGTTCTCACTTCCGGTTCCGTGGTAGTACACTGCCGGCACTCCTGACATTAATAAAGAACAAGAAGAGAGCTGAGAATGTGGGAGAAAACAAAAAAAGAAAAGATAGGTATGGCTCGAGGTGAAAGAAATGGAAAAAAATAATCTTGGAAATAAAAGTTTCGTTGCTGAGAATTTCGCGAATTGAAGAGCGGTGAGATTTCGTTGGCACGTCGGTGAAGTAGATCTAGCTGCGTTTTTCTCTTCCATGAAACGGCGACAACATGATTTGATAAAGATACACGTGACTCACGTGCGTGAAAAGAAAGCAAAAAAAAAAAAAAGAAAAAAGGAAACATAAACGTTAACGTTGTTGGATCGAAGTACGTGTCTCTGCGTTTATGGAATATTAATAGGATGATTAATTAGGAATATTAATAGGATATTGGAAATGGAGCGGAATATATTTGAAACTGAGTGTTCAATTCCGATTTAATAATGCGAGAAAATTTTTAATATTACGGAGAAATTGTTTTCCGATCAAATGCATGTTTCTAATTATTTGCTAGGTTTATTCGAAGCTATGAAAGTTCGCTTCTAATTACAAAATCTCCGTACTTCGAAACCAACAGCGTATATAAACCATTTCGTCCAGCTCCACTCCCCAATCATAATTATAAAGCCCAAAGCCGGGAACCGTTAATTAGCTTTGATCAAAATCAGTGACCAAAATAAAACCGGGCCGTTGACAAATATCGGGCCGACGTTCGCGGTGGATTCGCATCGATCTCACGAAATGCAGACAATCGCGTTAACCTTCGCTCGCGTTAATTACTTCGGCGCGTTCGATAACACGGAACTCGTTTCGACGAAACGAAAGGAGCCAAGCAGAGCGCAAAAGGGCGAGTGAAAGAAAACAAAAAGGAAAAAAGAAAGAAAAGGAAAAAGAAAGCGAAGGAAGAATTTTCGTCGTAAGAAAGGCCGGCAGAAAAATCGGAGATCCTTTAAAACCGGTTAAACAAACACCGACGCGTTTTATGCCGACGCGATGAATGCGGACGTTCTGACGTCATGCTCTTCGCCATTTTTCCCACGGACTCGCTTTTCTCGCGGAATAAACACGGCGCCTACGCGCGCATTACGCTGCCCCTGGCATTTACTCGTTCGGAATCAAAGAAAAAAAAAAAAAA